ATAATTTATATAATAATCTAACAGTGTAACTACTAAAAAGACAAATTGTGGGAAAGTACATTTTACTTGTTAAATACTCTGTGCAGCCTTAATTTGAGAATGGAAACTGATGTTTATCTCTCTCTCTCTCTCTCTCTCTCTCTCTGTGTGTGTGTGTGTGTGTGTGTGTGTGTGTGTGTGTGTGTGTGTGTAGTACTACGCCTACCTGTATTCCTATGTGATGCCCCAGGCCATCCGAGACATGGTGGATGAGTACATCAACTGTGAAGACATTGCCATGAATTTCCTGGTGTCGCATATCACACGCAAACCCCCTATCAAGGTCAGTGAGTTCTCAGTGAGAAACGGCTTCTCAGCTAGACCAGACTTCTGTGTGGAAATTAGTTGAGAATTTGTACAGGAGTTTAACTTTGTAAGCGTTTATCTTTATAATCGGGGTTTGAAATTAACTTTTTCACTCACCAGCCAATTTGGCTACTAAATGTTTAAGTTACCGAACAGAACTTGTTTAAGTTTACAGAACTTCTACTAGCTAAAAAAAATAAAATAAAATTTATTTGTTTTGTGCTTTTCCAACGCATATGTCCGGCAGGCCTCATAGTACATTATCTGATTTGTGGAGTCATAGACGAGTGATTCGCGCCCAGTTTTCCACTTGGTATTAAAACCTCTGCTTTTCTTTTCTTGGTCTCCTTAACCCCAGCTAAGTATCGCCACATTATTACAGTATGTTCGAGTCCAGAGTTGTATCGAGAGTTGTACCGCATAGTGATGGGTGTGTTCAAGTAAGCCAGATATGCATATACCATTATGGCTCACGGGTTGAGTATTTGTGCTAAAACTGCGCAGATTTGGCTTACATGAGCTTTACCAGGAAATTAACAAGTGAACATTATTTATAAAAGGTAACCCACCAGATTGGCTAGTGATTTGACGACTTCACCCGCCACAGCTGATTTTTACCCACATTTGGCGGGTTGGCGGGTGTTAATTTCAAACCCTGTTTATAATTACTTGTATATTTGTAGTCTATGATATCTGCATTTGACAAATGTGTTTATCCAGAATTCAGGCAGAATCCAAGCCAAGCGGCAAGGCTATTAAAGTAGGATTAATTAGAAATGGATAAATTAAACAGAAGGGTTACACAATTCCTGTAACAGTATATCCAAATGTGTTTTATTCCTTTTATGCCACAGCAATTTGCCCATGATTACAATATCTAATAAAGAACAACAGGTCATAATTTTTTATCCTTTTATAGTTACAATTAATGCTGAACATCCCTGAAACAAATTGGTTACAGATCTGTTACATTATAACAGCTATTACCACTCGTTTACTCACTTCTCTTTTTTTTCCCCTCTTTCTTGAAGTTAGTAAGACAAACAAAAGCAGCTTGTCGTGTTATCGAGAAACCACAAAACCCTCCATCCTGAAGACTTTGGCAGACAGCTTAGTTTTAGCTTTCTCTCTGACTGTTACAAAGCACTGACACTGAAGACAAAAACTGCTAAATAAACATCTCATTAGAAACTTCACAATCTCAATAATTATCAAATTTTTTATTTGTTAATGTGGCGTGTTAGTTATAGTTGAACAGTTCTGTGGCATAAATATTATGACTGGAGGGAAAATTAATGTAACATGTAATCAAATTATATAACACACTCACTCACTCAGAGGAAGAGCTGAGTGTGTTTCAGTATAGGAAGCGAGTCTTCAGTGTTTCTCATCTAAGTGAAAAGAGATTGATGTGGATTACACTGCTGGTGTTTGGTAAATTTTAGAAAGGCCTTGAGCAATATTCTCTGAAGTGTGGCACTGAAAAAAAAAGAGAACGTAATGAAATTTCATGTACTGCTCTTGTTATTAATGGAAGACTGCGTCTGTGCAGCGATTTCCCCTGAAAGTCATAAGCTCTGTTATTGAATTTCTTGCAGTCAGTCTCTCTAACCCACGATCTTCTCTTCAGCAAGTTCATAATAGCATAGAGAAATCGATTGTCTCCACTTTGTCATTTGAAAATCTGAGCTAGGAAATCTTGTGTACTCCAAAGTAAGTCTCTGCAACAACAAATAGGGCTGAATCATAATGGCAGGAATGATAATCACAATTATCTTGGCCAGTGTTGGAATAATGCTCACTGATTTAAAAATTATTCAGGCAATTTAACAACAAAATACTGTAGTTTTTCCCTTTATTATTGTAAAAAATGTATTTCATATTGCATGTTAATATATATAAACCTCTTCCTTCAAACATTAGTACTGGAATTAAACTAATGCTGCACTTGAGTCTTGATTAGTTAGTAAATAAATAAATCTTTGTTCGGGTCAGTAAATACAAATTCCGTCTCTCTGATCAGGTGACGTCTCGTTGGACATTCCGCTGTCCCGGTTGTCCTCAGGCACTGTCTCATGACGACTCGCACTTCCATGAGCGCCACAAGTGCATCAACTTCTTTGTCAAGGTGTACGGTTACATGCCGCTGCTCTACACACAGTTCCGGGTGGACTCTGTCCTCTTTAAGACTCGACTCCCGCACGACAAGACCAAATGCTTCAAGTTCATTTAGAGGGACCAAAAGAGGACATACAGACACCTCCTCTGACGGACAGGAGATTTTATCTGACACAAGTCAAAATGAAGGGAGAACTACTACATAAAAGCATTTTATTTTAGTTTATATGTATATCAGCAACCACTACTGGTCTCATTCGCACCACTTTCAACAGTCTTGGAAAAGAGGTGGATAAGAGGCGAGGACACTTTAATGGCTTTCAGACTGAATGCTTTGGAACTGACAGAATGGTAAAAGACACGGGCAAAAGCTTCCTGTCTCATTGCACTCTTTATTTTTTAACCCATTCTACATTTATATATCTATATATATAGTGCTTGTCATACGCAAGAGAAGATATACTCTTGTATATTACAAGCACATTTCTGCAGGTCACAGAAATTTTATTTGTGTGTGTGTGTGTGTGTGTGTGTGTATGTGTGTGTGAGGAATTTTGAAAGAGGAATTTAAAGTCACCAGACCTCAAAGATAGACTGACAAAAGTGCAGAAATGAAAACACTACATGGTTGGGCGAGCGATAATCATTTTGAATACTCTCTCTCCTGCGTGTCGGTGATCATTAGGCTCGAAAAACAGTGTGTACACACTCGGTTCATCAGGTCTTCTCAGGCATGTGCCGATATCAGATTATCGTATGAGAATAATCGCTTAAAATTTTCACAATTTATGATATTATCACAGCTGTCAGCTTAGCGATCACTCATCTGCTGAACAGGATTATGAGGTACACATGACACTGCCTTTGGAGATTTGTAGAAGACAGCTGTCCTGATACTGCTTTCCCAACGGGATTGGCTTTAGCTCAGGAGCACAAATACCACACAAAAACGCTGCCTACGTAGGCAACTGCTTTCTGGATTGAATGTAATGGGACTGACAGTAATTTAAAGTTTCAGCAATAACAACATACTGCGTGTTAAATATTTAAGACACGAAAGCTACCAAACCTTCCTGATATCACAAGATGTCAGAAAATAACAGACGAGGTGGAGGTGAGGAACACCACAAAAATGAAGTCTGCGTCTGATATCGCCACACCTGCTGATCAGCGTTTGAACAAACTGGGGTTTTGTGTAGGTTTTTCTCCCTCACAGCTCACCATCATGTTATTTAAGTAACTTTGAACTCCCTCCACCCCACATAGGAAACAGTTTTACAGTTGTTGATATGGTTACATCTCTAAGCCGTTACCTCCCTCTATTATTGTCACTTTTAATTACGACATTTCTGCACACTGTAGCCTATAAATGATTTTCTGTGTAAATCCATTTCATTCATTTCACCCTTTTTTTTCATTTAGCAGCTCAATAGTGAAGCATAAATATGTGATGCGTTTACAGTAATAATAATTCTGAGCTGTACAAAGTATTAATGTCATCGTCAGACTCTAGGAACTCAAAATTTTCTGAAAGCTTCCACTTAAGTGTGTGATGTCACGTTATAAACAAACATGACTGAAAAGACGGCAGACGCGTCAACATGTTCTAGTATTGACTACCTGATGAATGAGAATAGTTTAGCGTTATATCTACAAACCTGGGAAAGAGGTCATGGTGTTGGGTGTGGTTTCATATAAACAACTTCAAGAATATCTGAGCTGTCATTTTGTAATTAATACATGAGCTGAACACACTGATACTAGCCTAAATAGTTATTTATGAACATTGTCATGGTCACATCTCAACATGGATAGATGGTACGAGTATATAAGTAGGGCTAGTTCATGCGCATGGTACCAAAGATAAGTAATGAAAGGAAAGTAACACCAGTAAAGGTCAAATCCTCTGAGAAAAATGATCAGTTTGACATCTGTTTATAAAGCTTTCCCCAGAAACACAGTGCATTAAAACACATCTGTTGGTGTTACTTCAGTCAATTTAAGGTCAAGTTTAGATGAATTGCATTTCTTTAGAGATGAAAAATAAAATGTGGGCAACAGTGCAGACTTGAAACAGCACTCAGTGTGGGGTGATAAAGAATTTGCATATCGTAAAACCTTTGGCTAAACTTATTACAGTTGATGGTAAGTTTAAAACTATACATTTAAGGGTTATAGTTGGGTGAACTATATCTTAAGGGTGGCATGGTGGTGCCTAATAGCTCCAGGGTCCCAAGTTCAATCCTGAGCTTGGGTTACTCTCTGTGCATGTTCACACCATGTCTACGTAGTTTCCTCCCAAAAACATGCCAGTAGGTGGATTGCTAAATCTTTGATTGCCTTAGTGTGTGAATATATGTGTGCATGATGCCCGGTGATGGACTGGCATCCCATCCAGCGTGTGTTCCCCCTCCGGATCCAGCTCCACTGCGACACTGACTGATAACGCGGCTACTTACGATCAATGACTGAACATTTTAACCAAAACAAATTCCAGCACATTTTTCCCAGTTTCATAGAAGTTAGTCATCTGGGGGGACGTAGTGGCTCAGCGGTTAAGGCTTTGGACTTCTGATCAGAAGGTCATGAGTTCAAAGCCTAGTGCTGCCACAGCTGAGGAAGTTTTAGGAGAAATGACAGCGTATCATGTAACTGATTATCGGCACGTGCCTAAGCAGCACAGAGGATGTTGTTCTTTGTATTTCTGATTTGCCCGTCTCATGTTCGTCCTGTCCTTTGCTCAAATAGTTGATGTGAAGTTGGAGTGAAGACCTCAGGTCTGAATACTAGCACAATTCTGGAGGATCATGCTGCGTATAAATACTGCGTAAGAATTACTGGCACAATCTGAACTCGTTGTTTAAAAATGGTACTTTGTATCCTCATTGAACTGTTAAATCCAAAATGCCTCCATGAACATGAACTGATGTTTGCATTACAATGCTAATTTCTGTCCTGAACTGTATAGTGCATAGAGGTTGCTGCATTGTAAATCTTTTTTTTTTTTTTTTTTTTAATGTTATTGTATGTTTCAGGTCATGAATGCCTTTTATGGAACCTTTTTATACACCTAATGACTGTGTATGTATAAATTTGTTGAGGTTTAAGTAATGTGTGTTTTTTTTGTCCCTGTATTGCCACTTGAGCATGGAGATTGAGGAGGCGAGGAAGCAGAAGCACAGCAAGCTGACTGACAGACTGTATCATTAGTGTGATCCTCGTAAACACTAATAAACCAGCCCGTGCCATTTGTCTCTGGAACTTCTATGAAAATCAATGTTTAATTACCAGAATGAAATAATTAACGCATTAAACTTGCATAGGTCCCAGGAGATGTTAATTGTGATTTAAAAAAAAAAAAAAATAGGAATGCACCAATCTTAGTTTTTAATTTTCTCTTCAATGCCAGTATTAGCACTATGGGCATCAGCTGTTACTCACCACTGAATCAGAGTCTGCTATCTATAAGCTTCTGGTGCAAGGACATGTAAAGCATCACACGCAAGTCTTTTAAAGATCTGATATTTAAGCATCAGACAAAACAGACTGTAGCGTACAGCCTGAATAGAGTCCAAGCAGACTATCACCATAGTTCTTTTTTTTTTTTTTTTCCCCTGTCTAGAATGTATGAAAGACATTTCACCACTAGACAAAACAACAACATAGTGTGCAGGCATGGTAGTAGTGCCGAGAGGAAAGGGGACAACATGAGAATAGAGTATGTGTGGATTTGACAAAACGAATTGAAAATGTATAGAGAGAACACAACATACTGCCATCAATGGAATCGTCATTCACACAGTTAAATGGTTCCAGGTTTTTTTTTTTTTTTTTTACCAAACTAGAGGCAAGATCAGGCTTTTGTCAGGTCCTGTTAGCTCCAGAGAGCTGAGGGTTCACAACTTTTATAGCTCCTTTTGGTAGCTTGTGCTTCATTGCTTGTGCTGACACCTGACCATCGCTTATATTTGCTTGTTAACCCCATTCCATTCCATATGCATTCTCCTTTGCTGTTATTATAACCTCCACTTTTCTTGGAATGTTTCCACTAGATTTTGGAGCGTAGCTGTGGGGATTTGCCCATTCAGCCACAAGAGCATTAGTGAGGCCTGGCACTGATGTTGAGTGAGAAGGCCACTCAAGTGCTTCCACACCAACCTTGGCAAACCATGTTCTTATGGACCTTGTGTTGTGTACAAGGGCATTGCCATGCTGGAACGTTTGGGCCTCTTAGTTCCAGTGAAGGGAAGTCTTAATGTTGCAGTATACCACATTCTTTACAGTAGCGTGCTCCCAACTTTGGGCAACACTTCGGGGAAGGTCCACATATGGGTGTGATAGTCAGATGTCCATTTACACTCACCGGTCATTTTATTAGGAACACATACACCTGCTCATTTATGCAGTTATCCAATCAGGTAATCATGTGGCAGTTGTGCAATGCACAGTATCATGCAGATACAGGTCAGGACCTTCAGTTAATGTTTACATCAAACATCAGAATGTGGAAAAAGTGTGATCTGTGTGACTAACCGTGGCATGGTTGTTGGTGCCAGATGGGCTGGTTTGAGTATTTCAGAAACTGCTAATATCCTGGGATGTTCTCACACAACAGTCTCTAGAGTTTACACAGAATGATGTGAAAACCCAAAAATATCCTGTAAGCAGGGGTCTGCAGACTGAAACACCTTGTTGATGAGAGAGATCAGAGAAGAATGACCAGACTGGTCATTCTCACCCAAACTGGACAGTTGAAATTTTTTTTTTTTTTTTTTAACTCAAAACACCTGGTCTTTTTCCAGTCTTCAACTGTCCAGTTTCAGTGAGTCTGTGCCCATGATAGCCTTAGATTCTTGTTCTTGGGTGACAGGAGTGGAACCTGATGTGGTCTTCTGCTGTTATAGCCCATCCACCACAAGGTTTGATGTTTTGTGCATGCATTTCTGCTGACCATAGTTGTAAAGAGTGATTATATGAGTTACTATATCCTTTGTGTCAGCTCGAACCAGCCTGGTCATTCTCCTCTGATCTATCTCATCAAGACATTTCAGCCTGCAGACCCTCCCATTCTGTTCAAACTCTAGAGACAATACCAGGAGATCAGCAGTTTCTGAAATACTCACTTTTTCTTCGTTCTGATATTTGATGTGAACATTACCTGATGCCTTTGACCTGTATCTGCATGATTTTTTTGCATTGTGCTTCTGCCATATGATTGGCTGATTAGATAACTGCGTGAATGTACAGGTGTTCCTAATAAAGTGGACAGTGAGTGTATGGTTGGCCATATAGTATATGATTAATTATCTGAAAGACAATTACATGCCATGTTTGCAACACATGGCATAAGTGTGGTGGTGATTATTAACAATGGACCACAGGTTTTATCCTCTGGATTTGCCCACTTTGCCACATTTTCCACAAATCAGCAAGGAAACAAAACAGGAAAAAAATAGAAAGATGTTGAGACAAACCAAAGGAGATCCATATGAGGCATTACTAGCCTGTAGGATCGCATCATAATGACAGAGTTTTACCTGCTGAACTCTTTATGGGCACAACATTGCAGTCTTTGCTTTCTGGCTAAACTCTGGGGTATTTGCTAAAAAAAAAAAAAAAAAAAGAAGATGCTTATATAGAAGAATTTTAAGAGTTGACACAGTGCCAAAACTAAGCTAGACCCGACACCAGGGAAATGTGTCTGGGTCAAAACACCCAGTGTATGAGGAGTACCTGGGACAATGATTGAGGCAGCTAGCATCCCACGGTCATGTGTAGTTGGGACACCCATATATGGGATATGAGAAGAAACAGGGCACATCTATAAGTGCTTCCAGAGTTGGTGCAAAATACATCTTTGGAGAAGGAAGAAATCTCTGAGGAAGGGCTTGTCATACCAGAGACAAGAGTGCAGCCAAAGAGACAGGTTAAAATATTATGTAATGTGAGTTAGTGGTAAAAACTATTTCCATCAGTGGGTTAATTAATACTGACCTCTGAACTCAAGGGGGTTTGGTAAGGGGCTTGAGGGGAGTACCAGATGGACCAGAAGGGTTCACCCTCAGGGTCTGCAGGACAAGACATTAAAGTTGGCAGAGATTGCAGGTTGCACATTGAATGTGTCTTTCTGTGTCCTGATTATTCAGCCATTATGCTTACACAGAAGCCTTGCTGGTTTTGGCACAGCTGCTTTCATTCAGTTGCAGGCAATTCTTTCATTTGTGAAATTCCAGTGAAGTGAAGCAAATTAATTAACCCAAGTAAAGACCCATTGGTGCCAGGAGGTTTTAGAGCCTGGTGTGTAGCAGCCCTAGTGCTGCTGCTGTATTACAATTTGGCTTGTGTATGGTTATGATTGCCAACCCTTCTTTCCCTGAAGACACAGTGAAACAGCTGTTTTCTTCCCTGGAATGTCGCAGGCACTTCATCAGGCGTTAAAAAGCTTCAGCAATGCATTAAGGGTTTTTCCCCACTGTCCATTTTTAATTGTAAGCTTGTCTTTTGCAGATGGCCAGAAAACCAGGCCAGTGAAGAATTCAATAAAGGCATGCACCAATCCGATGCTGATCATCATCATATATCAGGATCTGATCCGCTGATTTATTCTTGTATACATGCTGTTAATGTGTGTGACACTGACTGATAGATCTTGTGCATAAACACGGGGCACGAATTGTCCTGAAGAAACTGGCCAAAAACAAAATGTACACAATTTTCTCCCTTACCCCACATGTAGCTGATCAGCCAAAACGTTTGAAAACAAGTCTCCTCCTTGAGTTTTGTACTGAAGCTATGAGGTGCATGCAAGTAGAACTTTGGTAGGTAAACTTGCAATATGCTCAAAATATAAATGGTTAAACATGTGAAATTACTATTGCTCAGCAACCGGGAATATACAGATACCCAGCATATGCTGGCTAATGATTAATGATTTAGCTAGCACATGCCTCTTCTTGTATAGACAGCGTAAAGGAATATTGACAGTGGAAACAAGGTGGAAATATTAACATTTTCCCCAGACATGTTGGTAAATTGCTCAGAAAAGCCTCGGTATTACCAAAATAACACTTTATTCGCAGTTAGCATAACCAAACTTCCAGAGGTTCCATTATCTTGAAAAACCTTAACACGACTCATAGATTGTTTGGACCTGTCCATTATTTTATGATACTGCCTCTGATGACATAAATAAGATAATGTTTATTCAATTCGTTTGGATTTATGTTCTGGAGGTGAAGAGAGTGTCAGACAGGGTGATGAGTCTGAAGCTAGAGATTGAAGGGGTGATGTTGAATGTTGTTAGTGATTATGCCCCACAGGTAGGTTGTGAGCTAGAGGAGAAAGAGAGATGCTGGAGTGAATTAGATGAGGTGATAGAGAGTATTCCCACAGGTGAGAGATTGGTGATCGGAGCAGATTTTAAATGGACATGTTGGTGAGGGGAACACAGGTGAAGAGGAGGAACCTTGAAGGACAGATGGTAGTGGACTTTGCTAAGAGGATGGACATGGCTGTGGTTAACACTTATTTTCAGAAGAGGGAGGAGCATAGAGTGACTTACAAGAGTGGAGGTAGGAGCACACAGGTAGACTACATCCTATGTAGAAGAG